CACTGAGGGAGGGTGACTGGCTACGTAAAGGAGTGGGAGGTTTCATGGAAATATTTTTGTCAGTTCCATCACAAGAGAACTGCTTGCTTCCCTGGATTTTGGCCAAGGAGGGGCTACTTCTGACACTGGTTCCCAAAGGAGAAGGGCTTCTCTTTGTAGGTACAGGTTGTGAGAGGGTTAAATAGGAACCAGAATAGTCTCCATTGGCTTTAAATCTCAGGCTGGAAGAATACTTCTTTGGGCTCAGGCTCTCCATCATGTTTTCAGAATCGTTCTCAAGAGAATTCACAGCAAAACTTGCCCCTAAGCTACCGTTCTGTAAATCCAGCTGCTGTTGCATGTGGCTATGCTCTGCCATAACGTTGCTGGAATCTGTAAAGGGGTGGGGTGGAGAGAAAGTTTTACTTAACGAAGAACTTTTAAAAAGACCAAGCACTTGTCAGCCCACATCTGAATAAACAGCCTTGCAGCCTGATCTAATGCAATTAACAAATACAATCTCTGTTTTAGCAATAAACCCAGTAAAACTGTACTGCAAAATGAAGAACAAAGACCACTGATCTGGGATGTTTTTTGTTCAAAAGAAAAATAACTCAAGAGGACATCAATGATATTTGAAGGAACAAATCCCTAACCAAGTACAGGTGCAGGATTAGGCTGATATATAAAAAAGACAATTTCCCTTTAGTGCTGTAGTCCTAGGCAGAGCACCTGCTTCCTGAGTACCTAGTAAACACCCAAAGGAATAAGGCAGTGGGCCTTTCTTTAGGTGTCTCTGCTAGAATCATTAACAGCTCAGAAGTAGAGTCCTAAGGAAACCAAGTTCACATTCTGGTAGAGAAAGAACATTTTATGATAGACTGATCAATAACATGAGGGTTAGAAGATGGTTCTTTCACAGGGGTCTATGACAGTTACTTTCTCAACAAAAAGGCTTAATACAGCTCTTGTACCCATCAGAAAAAAATGGCAAGGAACAAAAAATAGAGGAGAGAGTATGTCTAAACTCACCCATTCTTCAAGGCTTGGATTAGGATTCTATCATCCATGATTACAGTTTTTTAAAAAATGTATATACCTATAAGAATATTTTTGGACTCTAGTTTGAACAACATTAATTTGAGAAGCTAAAGTTTTAGTCTCCGAAAATGTCTTTTAATTACAAATTATCACTGCAAATGAGAAGGCTCACACATCTAATTGATAAAAAGATTTTCTTTAGATAATCATCAAAGCAAAAACACAGACATTCTCAACGAAGTCATGTACTGCTAAGATGGTCCTCCAATTCCTCAGGCACCTCAGACACGAGTTGTTACATCTCTGGGCTCTGTGTAAACTGTGTCACTTGGTTAGTAGTCAATTTCATTTGTTTCTGTAGTTAGGTTGCATGTTTAAGGAAGAGGGTTATGTCTAGTATTTCTATCTTATCTCCACCTTCTCCCGACTCCCATTGTCCTACACACTCAATGAACACAAGTTTTCAATTTCAATCACAGCCTTCACCACTCCCTCTCAGCCACAGATTGAGGAACTGTCATCTTACCTGCTCAGCTGCACAGACTTCTAGGCAAATTCGGGCAGTCTAATAAGGAACTGCTTTTCATCTATAGAGTGGGGCCAAGAAACAGTCTGGCTGCTTAAATAATAGTAATGGGCTTAGTACCCATTGCCTCATAAAGCTGCAGTTTTCCCCAACAAGTTCTGCTTTGGGTGAGATCCCTACCATTCAACCCAAAGCCCTGCTCTGATGAATAAGAGCACGATTATCTTTTGAAATGGACCTAAAAAAAAAAACAAACCAAAAACCCAAATCTTGGGATTCTCCTTTAGAATTGCCTCCCAGCTGGGATCTGGCCCTGCCGCTGACTCTTGCCAGGTCTTTTATTCCTAAGAAGCAGTACCATCTCTGCCTCCAAGGCAAATGTCCCTCTCTGCAACTGTCTACTACTACCAGTCTGGCCTTGAACATAACACCAGCCTAATTTGAGACATATCTCACCATGCCTCCTTGGAGGACTGAAACTAAGATGACCTCTAATCTTAGTCCATTCTATTCCTGACTAACTTCGTCTCTACTTGATTTGCCATACTGAAATCCCAGCAAACCTTGGCCAATTCCATCAAGTTAAATACTTTTGAATTGAGGAAGATTTAGCAAGGACAGAGTTGGATACCGGGGACATTACAGAGTTACTTATATAGGTGTTGGGAGGCACTCCCTCTATCGCTTTCTCCTCTGTCCTCTATCCCTTCTCTATCACCTCCTTCTTCATTTCATCCATAAACAAATTCAGTCAACACTATCCTTAAAATGTATTCTCAATCTGATCATTTCTTATCATGTCTACTGCTACCTCCCTATGATAAGCCAATATCTTCTCTTGCCTTTTCTATATGCCTCTTCTCCTATGGTAAGTACAATAACAATGGACTGGAGTCATGCCAAAATGTTAGCAGTGGTTTAACTGGGTGGTGATATTAGTGATGATTTTTAATTTACCTTTCTCATAGTAATTTGTAGTTTCCACATTTTATACAATGTATTTGGTTTACTTTAACAATTAGAAAAAAAAAGTGTAAAATACTAGAATACAATCTATAGCTATACTTCTTTTTTAAGTTAATTAAATTCATTTTTCTTAAGCTCCTATCCAATTTTCAAGCCAGATATTAGTTCTTCCAAGACAGGTTATTTTAAAAAAATTCTCGATAAGATTAGCTTAACATGTAAACATTTAATGACTTCAATATTTTTTTGAACTTTTCTAAATGACTAAGGAAAAAATGTTAATTATGCGAATGTATCCATTCCATACTTTATGTATTTGAAAAACTACAAAATTGAGCATAACACATTCCCTAACATGAATAAAGTGAACACGGTGATGACAAAAAGTCTCCACATGTTTGCTGAATATAACTTTGACAATAATATTAGTATCCTCATTTTTGAAAAGTGTTACTAAGATATTTCATGATTTGAAGTGGTTCTGCTTATTATATAGAAAAAATTAAAATCTCAACAGGCAGTTTTAGGTACTTCATTCATTAAGTAGGTATTAAGTGCCTACCATATATCAGACATTGGTTTAGCAGGCACTTGCGTTGTTCACTAATATTCCTGTCCTCCTCCTTTCTAAAACATAGCAGTGTTGCTCTTCCTCATCCCAGGGACATTAGGTGCAGCTATATACCTTGCTTTGATCGATAAAATGTGAGAGAAAGCGACATGTCAGTTCCGAGCTGAAACATCAAGGGCTGGAGTATGATTCACCGTTTCCACTTTCCTGATAAAATGACTATCACACATCCCACTTTGTGGAAGCTTCGTTAGCCTGCACTCCTCAACAGGGACACCATGGAACAGGGCCCTTGCCAACTCTAGATAGTGTTAAGCCACTGAGATTTGGGAATTGTTTGTTACTAGGAAGGTGTTAATCTTCATCAAGTGCCCACCATAAACCAGGCTTCAGCTAGACACTGGGAAGCATCTTGTCAAAGATACCATTTCCAGCCTTCACATAGCTTGTAGTCCAAAGGAGAAGGTGCAATATGAACAAATGCTGTAATAGTGTGACACATGCCTTAACAGAGGACTTACTTACAGATTGGTAAAGGAGCACAGAGTAGGGCTAATCCAGTGAGAGTGGTCGTCTGCGGAAGTTATGACAGAAAGAAATGTCAATAAAGTGAAGTCCTATTGAAGGAAAGGGAATCTGATGAGTATTATATACAATGGTAGCATAAAATTTTCGCACCTAAAATTTTGTGCTTTTAAGGATATAAACAAAATCCCAAACCCATTCGAGGCCAGACTATTGGTACATCCAGGAAACAGCCTGTCTCTGACAGAACAAAAATTGTGTAGGAAAAAGTAAGTTCTTTTCTTAAAAATCTAGAGTGTAATTCTGCTGGGACGAACTGTATTTAATTATCATGTATTTCTCTCTCACAGTTAATCCTTTCCCATCTCCACCACCATGTAAGATATGCCCTCCAGGGTCCAAGCCATATGCCTATCCTAAGAGTGGTTTAAATTGGACAGAATCCAACAACCATTTAGGATATTTTAGATAAGGACACAAGAGGAAATCCATAAGTAAGGTGTTAGAATAGACAAGAAAATAATTAAAGCCAAATACTGGAGAAGACTTAGGTTTAGAGATAATATATACAAAATAGGAAACAGACTAAGTTAGAACAGTATTCCTAAAATGTGCAGAGACAGTAATCCAGACAGCACAGCAGAGCAGATGTTATTAAACAGAAGTCAAAGAAAAGCATGGAGCCCAAACTCTGTTAAAATATTCACTCTAACGGCACAGAGTTGAAGGGCTTAACGCCTCATGTCATAACGGATACTTAAAAGTTTAATTTTTGACTCAGCAGTATAAGATATTGATGTCATTTTAGATGATAAAATCTATTAATGTATTTCAATCTGTTTGCAGTTGCAAAGGCTACTTAATCACTCAAATAAAATATTATCAAACACTGTTCCCTCTTTATTAGGGCCAATAAAACTACAGCATCAAATTACTACAAGTTTCTTACTACCCTACAGGGTAGTAACACTTGGTCCCCCTTTCCTCCTCATACACACTTTTTTAAAAAATCAAAAAATGTAATTACTGAAGCAGTTTAGTTGGCCAAACGAAATACAATATCAAAATATTCCCCAAAAATATTGGCTGAAAGAAAATCAGCTTTGCATCTCCAGGGAAGAGATGAGCAGGATATTTGCAAGTAATAAACCACATCTGAGAAACAGCCATGCGATATTTCTCCACCATACATATTTGTAGAAGAAAGTTACAGACGATTTGGATGAAAGGACATTCCAGAGAATGTTTAAAGGAGTATTCACATTTGATCCTCCACTTTTTCAATTTAACCTATTGGTTCTGTTAAGGATGTATAAAGAGTCGTATACTTAAAGATTTATCTAGTATAAATACAAAGTTCACTCATTTTCCTGAAGCTCAGTTCACCTGTCATAGCTGAGTGTATAAGCAGACTTGTCTCAACTTGATATCTCTTAATCCCACAAATCAGTTCTACTCAAAAGGTGGAAAATCAGCCACACAGATGGCCTTTCTGGCCCCAGGAGTGACAATAATGGCTATTGAAACCTCTCTTCCCCTACTTCTGGAGTATTCTTTTCATTGCAGATGAAATCACTAGGAGAGGTCTAGAAATGAGAAAAGCATAGGGGAATGTAGAATATTATGGACAAAAAAGAGGTTCTGCAGAAAGAAACCTCACAAGGTGATCCGATCATAAATTCCTAACTAGGCAGGTTACGGCGGGTAGTCCCTCCCTAGATATATAACTTCTTTAGTTAAAGGCTTATCTTTGTTTCTGTGCATCTAGGTTAACATACCTTTGAAATGCCTCTTTTCAGACCCCTCAGAAGAGAACCCACCCTCAAGACAGCACATAATCTTGTTAACTATCCAGTAATCTAATCCCGGCCTTCTTTCTACCACCTTCACGTACTCTTCCTTAGGTTCCCTACTGAATTCTAAATGCATAAAAGAAGCTGCAAACTGCCATTCTGGGAAGCTTTTTCTCAGTCTGTTGAGATCTTGCTTCCAGTGTATCCTCTGTTTGGCTCAAATAAATTTTTATAAAAATTCTCTATAGGTTTGGCTATTCTTACATCGACAACAGTAACCAGGAATTTACTTTGAATGAGGATGAGGGTGTGGGCAAGGATAGTAGAGGGAGGAAGGTGGAGAATACAGTGGAAGAGACTGGGGTGGACTCTTCAGCAGCAAGCGGGGGATGTGATGTGATATGATGGAGCACTGTAGACACAATGCACCAGAGGCTACAGCTGAGTTTAGGAAAAGAAAGAAAAGGAGGAGCGAGGATGGTGGGAGGTGAGAGGGGCGCTGCAAGAGCTGTTGCCCAAGTGACAGTCAAGAGGGTGGCGGGGTGGGAGAAGATGTCCGCGTTAACATATGTAAGAGAGGAGGCGGTGAAGACGCCAAGGTTTCTATGCTGGTGTGTTTATTTTGGGTTTCCCGTACATTTTATATAAACAAAAGAGAAGTCTCAGGGAAATTATAAAACCACTGCATTGTTACTGTGGAAGCATAACAGTCCCATGGGCTTTAATGGCTACATATACTGCATGCTTAGCCACACAGTGGGTCTGGAGGAGGCATCCGGTGCCCACCTGAGAGAAAAGATAACACCAGGAAGTCTAAAGAGGAAAGAAGTTGAAGTGTTGAAACGTTCGGGCTTACTATCCAATCCCTAAATTTAATCCCTCCAGAGCTCTCATTATTTTATCACCTGAAATGTATATCACCTTGTTGACAATTAGAAAATTTCAGGAGCCAGAAAGCGATCTCAGAAAGATACCACAGAAAGTCCTGGTATTTTTCCCCTCGAGAGGAAAAAATATCGCTTAATAAACTAATCTCAAGGATTGTGTTTAAAAGTTTCTTGGTAAATTCTTTTCTCTTTGCCACAATTCTGGCACTTGTTTTAAAATATATAATTCTCCAGCTTAGTTTATACCAAATAACAACACAGTGGAGCTGCTCTCATTTAAACTGTAAGTCACCAACAGTGAATTTACAGCACTGTGAGGGCTAAAGTCGTAGTGATCTTGGTTTCAAGGTAATAAAAACGCACCCAGGAAGTAAAGTTTTAAAAAACAAATGAATTAAAATGAGCGTTTGCTATGTTGCATTGTGTCATGTTGTTGGATGAGGGGGTCTTACAGTCCGAACAACATAAGTGCAGTTTTCCAGGTAATTTATGCCAAGAGAGTTTGGAGAGTCCTGAATCATACAACACACTACTTGTCGCTTTACGTTACCATGCATGGACACTTCTGAGATCACCCAATATAGCGGAAATGAATCAAAGGGAGGCTGCAAGAGCAAGTGACAGAAAAAAAGAAATCATTTTATATTTCTGGGAAAAGTCAAGAATGTAGGTTACAGAAGGATATTCAGGAAAAAATAATCTAAAATATAATCGAGAATCTGTAGGTTAAATTTTCCACTTTAAAAAAATAAAGTTTGAATCTCTACCTGTGTCCTATAAAGGGCCCTTAGAGCTGAGATGCTGGCTCTGGGAACATATTTTGTCTCCGACAGTGATTGCTTCCTGTTGTTCAGAGCTCTCCCAGAACACTGGTGGTCCACAGGCTGGTCTCTTTCAGCACTGATGTTTATGATACAGCAATGTTATAAATAAAGCATGTACTGATGACATGTAATTGAATTCAGACACCAGCTTAGAACAGTCCCTCAGAAGCAGTGCCATTCTTTACATAAATGCTGGGGAGTATTTCAGAGGAGACTAAGGCAGCAGATGGGGCCTGAGGGAAAGCTTTTAGAGGACTAAAAGGGAAAAACTGAGAAATCTATTTCAGCCCCAACTCTAAGCTTAAACACGGAGAACAATGGACACAAAAACCTCTCTCTTTTTCCACTAATTCCAACATGAAAACATGACGAAGAGGGGGAGTAATTAAAAGCTTCAGGAACAACCACTTCCTTCTCTAGCAATATTCTCATTTCAGAAAAATTTCCCCCATCCTCCATTATCCAAACACCGCTCGTCAAACCCTCAGTCCTCACAACTCTCCTTTTGCAAACACACTCTCTTTTTTCACAAATATCTCCTTTCACCACTAAATCCTCCTCAGCCTCCTTCATCTCTGCAAACAAACCTCACCTCTCCACACAGCCCCACAAACACCTCCTCCTGGCATTTATTCTCAGATTCTCTCTTTCAAATATCTCCTTCCACACACAGCTTCTGCAAGCATCCATATTCCATTGTTTCAGTGTCCATCTCCACCGAACTTCTTCATTTCCTACTCACTCATCCCAACTTCTTAAACTCTGTTTCTTTAAATGCTTCCTCTACACTCAAGATTTTAGATCCCAGTGCAAAGAAAAAAATAACTGTTAGTAGACATAGTAGCCTATTGTTCTTTTTGCAAATAAACATAACGGCAAATGGATTACACTCTTCTTCCCTTCACCATGTTCTCTGTCATTTAAAGATCTGTGCATTTGAACAAAATAATTATTATCCACTAGATATACATAGGCAGGTTAATAATCTCCAAGGAGGATATTTTCATCCCTCAAAACGATCTCAAGCAGTTCCACAGGAATAAATGTATTTTAATGGCAGAATGAGGCTGTTTTATTCTTGCTGACTGAGCCTATCACAACAGGTGGCTGTAAATCTTACTGTATGTAGACATGCACACACATGCTCACAGACAGACAAGACAGAGACAAACACACACTGTCCAAATGTCCACAGCAGTCTCAAATGCACAAAGGCTTTTTGTGACTGCCAGAAGAGGACAGCTCTTCAGTACCTAAGCAACTTGAGGCATCCTCGGAAAAAGCCAGATGTGTTGGAGTAATGCACAGCAGGGCTGGGGAGAAAAGTGAGGGCCACTGGAATGCTGATATGATGTCACAGGACACTGATTACTCAAGTTTCTTTCTTGGTTTTCTTTTGTTTTTACTTCTCGATTTTTACTTTGTTACATTTTGAAAACACCTAAAAGAAGACGTAAGGAAAGCCATTAAGGAAAGAACAGAAGTATCAGATGATGCTGCAGGGAAGAAAGGAGACAGAAGGGATTGCTGAGTGATGGTGGCTAATTAGAACAATCAATGCAAATGAAAGAAGTGAAGACAAAAAGTA